CAACACCGCACTTCACCTGACACTTCGGGACTCCAGGAATGCCCCAACCCCGAAGTTTTAGGTGCGTCCTCATATCTTCCTCATGGCGGCTTTCATGACAGGTCGTCTGACAGGCCTGGCAACTTGACGGACCTCTACGGGTGCCTCCTCGTCATGCGTGCTGTCTGCCCGGAATCGCCCCGGGGTTTTCCCCACACGCGAATCGACGCGTCCACTGTTGCCAGAGGCCTCGTCGAGGTCTAGTAGCCACACTCCTGGGTGTGTGGCTCCCGCGACACAACTACATCCACTTCGGAGGGAGTGTGACGCAGGATGTGTCTGGCCTCCTCCAGGGTGACGCCTTGTACCCGTACGCCGTTCACATTGATGATCTCGTCTCCAACACGTAAGCGGCCGTCCCTGTGGATATGAAGAGAGGATAGAGGTTGTAATATATAACACAATACGTGGCTGCAACACTTCAAAACACATACAGTACCATGGCTACAACAATTCACAACACAGCATCTAGAACAATTCACAACACAATACCGTGGTGCTCCACGTGTGGCGCATACTACATGTTTTGAAGATGAGACAGGCGCTTTACTCAGTCAGTGTGTTGCTGCCATACAACAGGATTTATTTAAAATCCTCGTAGGGTTCCTCCCCACCCATCAACCCCCACAAACACCCAGACTTCCACACCCCCAGTCACATACTCTTCATAAACTTTGCTCTTGAGAGTGACACGATTGCCCCTCGTGGCACTATGCTGCTAACAGTGAATTTTCACCAGAAAATACTGAGATTCTCTATTGCTCTCAGATTCAGTAACCATCTAAGTTATTGTTCATAAATTTACATGAAGTACTTAGATAAGGTGTGTGTGAAAGTCGGTGAGGGAGTGTGTGTACACTCACCTAGTTGTACTCACCTAGTTGAGGTTGCAGGGGTCGAGTGTGTGTGTGTGTGTGTGTGTGTGTGTGTGTGTGTGTGTGTGTGTGTGTGTGTGTACTCACCTAATTGTGGTTGCAG